ATTTGTTTCATTTCACAAATTTAGCTTAGAAGTAATATTTGGGTAGCCTTACTCCCCCTTTTTGTTTTTCTTCAGCAGGAAAGAGACAAAGAGAAATGAGCCAGTTTCATTTCCACAAAGTAACGGAAATGTCGGTCAGAAGTATAAAGCAGAGCCGTAGTGAACAGGTCCAACTTTTCAAGTGCTAAAACACGATATTTCAATTTTCCTTCTTTGCATAAAACAAAATAGTCATTTTACATAAACACAGCTATTTACACTCGTCGGCGAAGTTGTGTTTCAAAATAAATTAAATCAGACTGGATAATACGTTGTTAGTTCAACTATTCATTTAAAAATATCTATCTGACATTTCTTTTAACTCAAAATATAAGACTTATAACTAACTATATTTTTTAAAATTGTCACGTTTTCTTCGGTGTGATCTAGATGTCATTTCTACTCATTATTATTATCAAAGTTTCTTTACGCCGATTTTTTTGTCAATTATAATAAATTCAAGGCTGTAGGAGTAAACAGTATACGAAGACGTAAAATATTGCGGATTTACTCTTGTCTGTAAACGAAAAACAATAAGTTAAAAGAAGACCTTTATTTTTAGATTAATTATTGATTTAAGATTAATTATTGTTATCAAATTTCATGCGGTATTTTAATTTTTTTGGGAGTGTATTTCTACGACGAAGTTATATGAACCTTCGAAGTGCCGGTGTTTTTGAAAAAACGCCCATTTGTATGTCGGGCTCGATTGCAAGGCGCTAGAAGTTAACAATTTGTGAAGACCGTATAGTATTGCGGGTTTATTCTAACAAATTAAATGAATCTTACGTTTAACATTTAATTTTATATAACTCATAAGCTTAATTGTAATCAATTTTCATGTGGTATTTTAATTTTTTTACAAGTGTATTTCAAATGCGAGGTTATATGAACTTTCGAAGTGACGGTGTTTTTGAAAAAAATTCCATTTGTATGTCGGGTTCGAATGCAAGGCGCTAGAAGTCAACAGTTTGTGAAGACCGTAAAGTATTGCGGGTTTACTCTAACAAATTAAATGAATCTTACGTTTAACATTTAATTTTATATAACTCTTAAGCTTAATTGTAATCAATTTTCATGTGGTAGTTTAATTTTTTTACGAGTGTATTTCAACTGCGAGGTTATATGAACCTTCGAAGTGCGGGTGTTTTTGACAAAAAGCCCATTTGTATATCGGGTTCGAATGCAAGGCGCTAGAAGTCAACAGTTTGTGAAGACCCTAAAGTATTGCGGGTTTAATCTAGTCTACAAATGAAAAACAACAAATTAAAAGAAGAATTTTTAATTTTTATTATTTTTCTTAAATGTAATCATTTTATTTTTATTTTATTTATTTTTTTACGAAGCTATTTCAACTACGAGGTTATATGAACCCTCGAAGTGCCGGTATTTTTGAAAAAAAAGCCCATTTGTATATCCGGTTCCAATGCAAGGCGCTTGAAGTAAACAGTTTGTGAAGACCGTAAAGTATTGCGGGTTTGCTCTAACAAATTAAATGAATCTTACGTTTAACATTTAATTTTATATAACTCTTAAGCTTAATTGTAATCAATTTTCATGTGGTATTTTAATTTTTTTACGAGTGTATTTCAAATGCGAGGTTATATGAATTTTCGAAGTGACGGTGTTTTTGAAAAAAATTCCATTTGTATGTCGGGTTCGAATGCAAGGCGCTAGAAGTCAACAGTTTGTGAAGACGGTAAAGTATTGCGGGTTTACTCTAATCTGTAAAGGAAAAACAACAAATTAAAAGAATCTTTTATGTTTAACATTTAATTTTATATAACTCTTAAAATTGTAATCAATTTTCATGAGGTATTTTAATTTTTTAATGACGGGTGGCTGGATTTGAACCCGGAACTTTTACCCTAGAATGCTGACATCAACGCCTACACCGGCCAGTGACATCCTCAAAAAAATTACATTAAAAAACCTTTTCGAATTAAAAGAAGATATCTTTATTTAAGTACTTTAACAGTTAATTTTATATAAATTTTGATTTGAAGAAGATTGAAGATAAACGTACTCAGTTTACGTTCACACTGAAAAAAACAGTCTTACCAACCATTGTACATCAGCAACAAAGAGATACGGACAACCATTGAAGTCAAATACTTATTTCTGTACAGCACGTAGAAGCCCTAAACAAGACTTAAGAGACAATTAACAGAAGTTTTCAAAAACTACCAAAATTTGTAGAACCGTAATCCGTCGTGACCGTCAGCATTATACTGACCTTTAGAAGACATTATTTCGACGTTTTTGGACGATGTGAAATTGAGCGGTTCTGCTCCATCCAACCTCCTGTAAATCGAATCTTTCAAAAGTCCTCTGGCAAAGCGTTAAAGCTCCTTTCTATGTTATTAACCTCACTATTAATAACGGCCTCAACATCCCTTGGTTAAGGACTGATCCGTAACCGATTTCGAAAGTGTCACGCTAGCCTCTCGATCCATCCTGACCCTAATCCAGGAGCCCTCTCGACACATTCCCATCCCACAGTTACAAATAAAAATAAATTTTATATATTTTTTTATTTTAACTGCAATTAATTGTGATGTGATATTTTACAGAAGAACTAATTTGATATTTAAACAAAAAAATTCAAATTAAAAGAAAATTTTTTTTTTCTACAATTTTTACATTTAATTTTAAAAAGATTTTCATTTTAACTCTCATAAGTTTTATATGGTATTGTAGATAATAACAAATTGTATATTGAAACAAAAATTCTTTAATTACAAAAATAAAGTATTTTTATAATTTTTGTATTTATTTTATTTATTTTTTCATTTTAACTGCAATTAATTTTTATATGGTATTTTCGATAATAACTAATTTTATATTTTAAAAAATTCTCACTAGTTAAAGAAAGAACCCTATTTTTTGTATTTAATTTTATATTATTTTTATATTTCATCCTACCAATAATCTGGTTCTCGGTACTGGCGAAATGCAAAAAAAAAAATTTAATTATTATCTACCAAACTTTTGGCCTATTTTAACATCATAATCAGAGAAAAAAAATGTTAAGATATCTACAAATTGATATAATTAAATTTTTAATAGATGGCTTGAAATTTCATTGAAGTCCCACATACCTATGATGCACTATTACATTGAATAAATTTTGAGTGAATGCCACAGTGTTACAATGGCTGACAACAACTGATTTTGATTCTTTATCCTGACCGATATGCTTATTATTCGTGTATTCAAATAATAGGGTCGATATTCTTCCACTTTAGCCAGATATTTAATATATAATTTTTAACATTGATTGTAATTAACTTTCTCCAATAATCAGCTACAATCTGGTCACTGCGAGCTATAGTGAAGGTGTATTTCACTTTAACTTATTAAATTCGCTAGTTGTGACTAAATGGCAAATGTTCACTTATTTTATTTTATTTGTAATTTGCTTTTTAATTGCTCAATTATTAAGTAATGCGTATAATATATATTTCAATAATCAATTTTAAGTAAAAGTTCAATGTAAAAAGAATAGATGGAACATATTGACCACAAAAATAAGGTTATTCGATATAATTAATGTTTAATCAATTAAAAGTGAGTTAAAGATAGTAACCATTGTATTTCATATTCATAAATAAAGCGTTCATCATCATCATTATCTCTCTCTCTCTTTCTCCCATCCTCCCTCTCACTCTCTCTCTCTCTTCCTCCCACCCAACCTCCCACTCTCTCTCTCTCTCATCACATGAGTAAATAGATAGGCATATTTTGAGAAAATGTAGAAATAAAACGTACAACATACATCAAAGGAACTTGGTAATGTGTTAAGAAGCATGGTTGTAAGAGGTTGTTTATTTTTATTAAATCATATCGTGCTGATTTTTTCATTTCGAACATCTTATTGGTTAAGGTATTCTCTGCACACTTTTACAAACAAAATAACTTCTCAATCAGCAATGCAAAAAGTTTTATTCAAAGAATTAGATAGTTTAATGATTCTTCGTAAGCCGCAGGTAAAGTCAGGATAAGGTTTACAGCATCAATGGTTGGAATTTACATGTCATTACACAAGGCCTTTCAACAGGAAGCATCCTTGCCTCATCTTTCGTCAAACTGAAATTGGGTTAACAGGTATTTATTCAAGCATTTCAATCTACTTGTCGAGGTCGGAGCGAATTCGCCTTGTTAAATGGGAGTTTACAAACAAAAGTGGACGCTTTTGTTCGATTCTTCAATACGTAACGGCGGCGTCAAACAGTCGGGTTTTGAAAAGGTAAAGAAAAAGCGGAAGGTGCAGGCCGTTTGAAAACCTAATGGCCCCGTCGAGTTTTTAGGGAAAGTATTACTGACAATAAATCTCCCCAGCTTTCTATTTAATAAGGGACGTATTAGCGGGAAGTTTGTCCCGGCGTAAATTACAAAATTGGACACTTTAACGGAAAAATGGGACACACTTGAAAATTTCCAGCGGAAAAAGTTTACCGACAGAACATAATAGAAATGGCGTTCTCTTGTTACCGTTATTTTTACTCCGGCGAGTCTTGTCTTTACGGGAGAAGTTTTTTTTCCGCTTGGAAAACAGGGAATGTGAAAGGAACCCGGAAGTGTTCGATGTCAAGGGTGAAATTGAAAATTTGTGTTTAACCGGGTGATACATCGTAAACTTTACACGCAAGAAAGCTGGGCAACTTTTTTAAAAGCTTTCCTACCGAGAGTGACTGTATTTACAGTTACCATGAGTTCACAGAACGTTTTAGACATTATATTGCATAAATTTTTGAAGAACTGCCAATCTGAATTAAGGATAACATATTATTTATTGTGCTATGAAAACAAGTAACACAATGTTGGCAATTATCCTGTATTTTTCACGTCAATAAAGATTTGTACGAATAAAAATATTAGGTAATATTAAAATGCTTAATTTAAGATCAAAAAATAAATAAATTTACATATAAGTTTGCATTCATGAAAAGATAAGTTACCATTTCCAGTTGTTTGACGTAAGAAGATGAACTGTGGTTGGCTTGTATGAGTGGACGACCAGAATTGAATATCGATGTTATGACCATCCCGAGCGAAAACATATCACTTTTGATGCTGCACTGTGACATCGTTTGTACCTCAGGTGCTGTAAAAAAAAGTAACAATAAATATTTCAAATAATGGCTTTTACTAAAAAATATATTATAATCAATTCGTGACAATTGATGTTTTATTTAATCTAAACCTGTACCTCCCTAGGTTTTATGAGTATAAAATCATTGTCTCATATAATGGTTTTATTGTCAGGGGCCCACTAACGTTTTAGGCGAAGATGTGGGTTGTTGAGAAAAACCGGCAGGAAAATTGTACGTAGGGATTACAATGGGATTAGAGGTTGCCGTGTAATTTTCGTATCTGAATCTTTCAAATTATTTTAAAAGGGGAACATCAAATCTTTGTTATTGGTGTAATTAGTAACAAAACTTTTATATAGGGCGCTGACGATGGATCCAAAATGACTAATCGTATATTTTGTATTCTGCTGAGATTGGTGTGGTTAAATCCCACGGCAAAGAAACCGTACGCCGATGGGAGTTTTGCGCAGATTAAAACATTTAGTTAAACCACATGGCATAGAATATTTTCTATATATTTTAGAAATATACGAATGTTTTGTTGCCGTGGAAGAGTTTAGCACTGTTGTGTAGATGTTTTATAAGTAATCAGTATCATCAGTTAAGTATGTTTTTTAAATTCTGGAAGGAGAAATTTGGGTCAACTGCTTTTACAGATACAGACATAGGTACCAGATGGCCATTTCGGTAGGAAAGGGAGTGAGGTAGAATACACGGAAGGTATAGTGTGTAATATGTGAAGAAGAGGAAAGCTGGGAAAACACTTACCCGATGCAACGATATGCGACCCTACCCGATGCTACCCGACGCAAATCTAAAATCCATTTTTCCATAAGGTTGTATTATGCACACCTGCCTGATGCTACGCGACGCTACCCTACTCTACGCTCTGCCCCACTCTCAAGATTTTCGTCGGGTAGCATCGAGTACAGTCGGAGAAAAAAGAACCGGACACTCATAACTTTATTCAAACTACATGGATTATTGTCGTTAAATTAATTACAACATTCCTATTTTAATGTAACCCAAATTAAACAAGATCAAAAATTCATTAGTTTTTATTTAAAAAAATCAATGTTAATGGTTTGAAGAAAAATGATCAAAACACCGGAATATCATTTTTTGACATAATGAATTTAGCTAACAATTTATTACACGATTTTGCGCATAATATTTATTTAACAATTTATTTCAAGGTTGTGCTCATAGAATTACACCATTGTCGTAGGATACTGGTATTTTTTGTGGTTTATTTCAAACTAAATATATGTAATTTTATGGTTATATTAATTACAACATTCCTATTTTAATGTAACCCAAATTAAACAAGATCAAAAATTCATTAGTTTTTATTTTAAAAAATCAATGTTAATGGTTTGAAGAAAAATGATCAAAACACCGGAAAACCAATTTTTTATATAATGAATTTAACCAACAATTTATTACACGATTTTGCTCATAACATTTAACTGACAATATATTTCATGGTTTTGCTGAGAAAATTACACCATTTTCGGCGAGTAGGGCCAGAACAGGACATTCGTATTTTTTGTAGTTATTTCTAATTAAGTTTGTGTAATTTTCTCGTTATACTAATTACAACATTCTATTTTAATGTAAACCAAATTAAACTAGATCAAAAATTTATAAGTTTTTATAAAAATTATTCAATTTTGATGATTAGGAAGAAACTTGATCAAAACATCGGAATAACTTTATTTAAAACAATTAAGTTTAACAAACAATTTATTACATGCTTGTGCTCATAAAATTTAACTAACAATTTCTTACATGGATTTGCTCATAAAATTTAACTAATAATTTATTTCATGGTTTTCCTCATAAAATCGTGGTCCGCTTGACCAATTAATATATTACAATTTATTAACGTTTTTAGTTGAGATAAAAAAGTGAAAAATGGCAAAAAGGAGGAAAAATTGAAAAGGTGGGGTTGAGATGGGAAGTTGGTGCCCGAGTGGATCGAGGTCACGATAGCTCAGGTGGTAGTGCAGCGGCGTATCTAGCGGAAGATCGTGGGTTCGAATCCCGCACGTGCCATTGACTTTTTTTGTCAACTAAAACCTTAATTTATTTAAAACAATTAAGTTTAACAAACAATTTATTACATGGTTTTGCTCAAAATAATGCAATAAGAACAAAAGAGGCGTTACGATTGCGATACTGATTTGTGATACACGCAGCCTGACGGTACGTGGCGTGCGCTTGACGTCGCATAGTTGTGCACACCGTACCAAAAATGACATGGCGTCGCATAGCCGTTTCCCGCTTGAAGGTTAAGTTTTGAGATTTTGTCGTGCTATGTTTGACAAGCCATTTTTTGAACCATTGTCCAATGGACTATACATGTAATGAAGGATTCGATGAGCCAAATAGGATACACTGTCAGTACGACATTACACGTACAATCTTGTGCAAATAATTTGAATAATTTCAGTTATCACACCTTGTTAAGTTCTTTAAAGGTTATATTCATTGTTGTGTGAAGATTTATTTTTCTAAATTTATCACATTTGAATTTTTACGAAATGTTATTATTATACATCATAAATATTTATATTGTTACATGCTTCGTTTCTCTGTATGACTTATGGAGGCTTTTCAACTCAGAAAAGAAAGATCATACGCTTTATAATGTTGCTAAGTAAAGTTAGTTTTTTAATTTTCTAATTAATTGGATATTAATTGGTTTTATTCGAGTTCAATTTAATTAAAATTCACCCAATTAAATTTAAACCTAGATTTTCCTACAGACTTTTTCAAATCTTTGCCAATACTCAAATAAAAAGAAACAGTGATGTTGAGTTTATACATAATTTACACTCTTTTTTCTCAAACTGTCAACGTTTATACTTGAAAACTTACTTATGATTTATTTAACGATACACTGTAAACAACACCTTAAGATCAGATAGCCTAGCAGTTATTAAAATATAAAAAGTCACTTCTAATATAGTCAGCGAATCATGCAATATCCTCAAAACTTGTAGAAAAGTTACAACTTGATAATATCTTGAGTGCCAGGACACAAAGAAGTTTTGTGAAAAATCAAACAAACTGGCGAGATCTGCGTGAACGGGCCATGGACTATACAAAAAATGACAAAATCAACCCGAATCGCCCAAAATGGATTAAAAAAGAAAAGGGAGTTATTGTCAAACACTAGAGATGTAAACTCAGTAAGCTTATGATAAAACAAGCTAAACCCAAACCGGCAAGCTCATTGCTACAGTTTTTTTTCTTTATGATCTATGCATATTAACCATGGTGACTTATTCCCATTCATATTTGGTGGGGGGGGTTGTCGTGAAAACGGCCAGAGGCTACGGTGGGAATCGAACCCACGACCGCGGCGTCTATGAGCCGAGAGTCTCTCACGCTAACCACTCGGCTACTGCGGTCCCCTGCTACAGTTATTGACGGTTAAACTAAGCGGCATGAAAGGAATACATAGAGGTCATTGGCATCTGATAGAACATTTACATAACACATATTCAATGTTGACCATGCACATGTTGATTATGCAATGAGGAGGAGAAACTTATATGGATCATCTTGGAATGCGAAGCAACCGCTTACTGGCTCTAATCCAAGAAATGCAAGGAAGTGGAATTCAAATAATGATAATCAATGATGTCAATGAGTTCATAAGATAAAGAATCGATTAACTAAGGAACTAGAAACCCCCGTAATTAGCTAGAAAGCTGAGTGCTTGGGAAATAAAACCCCATTCATAGCCTCCATGTTTATCATTATCCTCATCGGGTTCTGGAGTCGAATTCAATGAGTATTTTAACCCTGGACCTTTAGCGTGATGAATCCTAACACCGTTTCAACTCGGCTTTCATTTAAATGAATTATCAAAAATATTGAAACATGTTTTATGGGATTTGATGATGGCGAATTGACCAACCGCAGATAGGCAGTCCAAAATGATCGGTAACGATCAATTTAAAATCTAAAATTGGGTCATTTTGGACTCATGACTCATAAATCAGCTACAGCATTTATCTACTTGGATTACGCTTGTAATTTTTTTTAATTTTAGGATTTTATTTAATATACAGTTTGTCAGTTACAGTTCGTTTACAGAAAGAAAGTCATACCTATTTTCACAACTTATTTTTAGTTATTGCAACACGTTTAAAAATAACTTTTCTAACATCTTAAAACGGATACAATTTACCTTGGCCGTTTTGAAAAATACAAAATTTCAACGGTGTCGTTCCACGGTAATTGCTTGCGGGGTCGGTAAAAATCAGGAGATGGTAATTCCCTCTCCGCCTACTGGGAAGAGTTTTACAAACCTTTTAGATTGAACTTTGATGGAGTTTTTATTTGTCTGACAAACTCCCTGGAGATCGTCTCCTTGAAGGGCGCGGTACTTCTAAGACAGGTTTATTTTAAAACTGATTGATCAGGAGAGGAAATGTATAAAAATATACAAGAACAGGGAAATATATAAATTAAAATAAATATTAAAATTTTCTCCTTGACTTCTCCTTGAAATCTACTTGAGGCAATCTTTTTTTTTTTTCATTTTATGTTTCAGCATGGTTCAAATTTGAATTTTTAATGATATGTACATTTAAACGGCGAATTCAATTACACTTCATTAAATAACTTATTAAGCATATGCAAATAAAAATATAAAATGCTTGAAAATAAAACTACATATTTTTTTTGTACATGATTCATGATAACATTGCGAGATTATTTAAACAGTGATCTTTTTCGAATTTTTTTTCTGAAAGTGTTGACTCCTCGACTTATTTTGGATCCGCTTAATCTTGCTAATGGCCAAAGAAGGAACGTGTTTCATACGAAAGATAACAACGGTGCTGACATATGACACATTGTATCAATATCAACAGACAAATGCTGAAAACAAAGTACATTTTTCCTTTCAAACGTAAAAGACAAAACCCATCTTTTTATTTATTATTTATTGAAGAACATTGTTCGAAATATGTTAAAATTTTAGTAAATTTAA